ATAAAGTTATTTTTAGTACATTTTTGTTACATGAACTTTGATAAGTAAATGCTATGTTTACATATGTGTATATTTAAGTGCGCATGTAGATATCATTTATTTTTATATTAAAATTATATTTATGTTATTTTATGTAGTCCGAAGATTTTAATAGATTCACATAAACTTCTGAAGGCAATTATTTGTTCTTCCGTATTATATGAATCATATGCATATTCGATAAATCTTTATAACTTACGAATATATATAAACTAGTACAGAATATCTTATTCAATATACAGTTGAACTTAAGCAGCAGCTAATTTAAACTAGAAAGTATGAAAAACTATAAATTAATAGCCGTCTTTGCACTGATAGTGACGTTGATAGCAAATGTAGTTGGTAGGGCAATAGATGTAAGTGATTAATACTACAATTATTTTAAAACTTAATATTATTATTATTATTATTAATATTAATATAAATTTAATCATATGTTTCTCGCCATTAAACAAAAATTTATGACATAAAACTTTTTCATGGTTATCAACACTTTTAATAACTAATTTTAAAATATATTTCTACATATACGCGTATTTTTCTTTCTTTTCTTGAGATTTATAAAAATTAAGAAAGTTATAATTTTTGAAAGTAACATTATCAAATTATAAAAATATCTAAGTTAAATTTAAACTTTCACACATCTTGTATAGATAAGTATAGATATTGTATAAATAAGATTAGAAAAGGAAGAAAAGAAATAAAGAAGAAAAAAGTGTGATACAACAGTAAAATGTAGCAATAATATCATAAATAATATCATAAAATAATATCATAAAACTTGTTTTAAGATTAGTGTAAAATAATATTTCAATTAAATATATTATATTTTTAATATCATAAAGTTAATTCTATATATTTTTTTTAGCCTGCCGTGTTAGCATCACTAGTAGGGTAGGCATCAGGATAAATCTAAATAATTACAGAAAATTGCAAAATTATAAAAACTAAAAATTATAAAATTATAAAATTATAAATATTTCCAAATTGAATGTATCAACAAAACGTTAATAATGTACATGTAATACATGTAATAAATTAATAATAATTGGGACAATACAACTATCTTTAATTTCCTATTTTTCTTAAATCCTTTAATTTCTTTCTCTCGCAATAATATACTTTAAAATTAATACAATTGTATTTGTATTTGTAATTAATTTGAAGATAGAAAGAGAGAAATTTTTCTCTTTTTTTAATTTGTAAATTTTATACCATATTACTAAATCTTTTTTCTAAAGATTTTATCAAAGAGAAACCGCATAAAAATAAATATGTTTCTTTGAAATTGAGAATGTTGAATAAATAGAATAGTAGAAAATAGAATAGTATTTTTTTTTTGAGAGAGAGAGAACGATGTTATAAACAGGATTGATAATGTTCGAAATAATTGTAATTTATATAAGAATAAAAAAATAATAAAAATCAAATTTAGCATTACAAAATATGTATATTATTATAATTGTATATGTATATTATTATTAATGTATATTATTATATATTATTGTAATATTCGCTAATCTTCATATAATAATAATATTTTCACCTACAACTGAACGTACATTAATCTGAGATTGTAAGTTTCTAACTCGAAACGGTTTCAAAACAGTTCGCGTTTGTATTAGAACTCAAAATACTCAAGCATATGAGAATCTGCTTTTCCAACTGTTGTTTGTTACAAACAATTGTACATAAACAGATTTCGATCGAGTACCTGTATCGTGTGAATGTATATGTATATTGCATGTGTTATATACATCATACAGATAATTATTTCATATAAATATCCGTTTCATATAGTACCCGCTTTACTCACAAGTATTTGCACATCAAACGACTAACACGCTATCGATATAATTAAATCTAATTTAAAAAATAAAATTTTTTAAAATTTGCAATATTTAAAATAGCTTTCATCATATCTTATTATTAAATTATTTGGAAAGATAAAACTGATATAGATTAAATAATTTTGCAAAAGAAGATATAATAGTTTTGCCAATAAAGCGTACATGTATCTTAAGTACGCTAAATAACGATTTTAAGGGATTTTTCACATAAATTTAAAATGAAAACTTCGTATGATCATATGAAATTTTTGTCTTAAATTCTTAAAATACACTCTGTATAATAAATTTGGTATAATTAAAAAAGTTTAGATAATAAAAATAACAATATAAATAATATAAGTATAAAACAATATTGCTGTGTTGTATGATTCTTTTTCCAGTATTAATATATGTAACATTACAAATCTATCTCGGCTATGAAAACATTAGCAAATTGTGTATAGTCTCAAATAAAAATTGTCAATCCTTATAAAATATAATACGTAGTTTTATTGTAACACACTGCGTATAACTTAAAAGTTATTAAAAGTGTAACAATTTTTAAGTATAGAAAACTCACGTGCAAAAAGAATTATATTTATTATAACTAAAGAATTATATTTATATGTAACTTAAACTTTGATATGTGTTTTGATGTCTCCAAAGAAATTGCCAATCGTAAAGATTATATTATTATTTCTTCCTTGTATGATATAATAAAAAATTTATATAAATAGTGATAAATATGAGTAATGCAATAAAAATATAAACAAATATACACATATTAAAATTTGTAATATTAAAACTATATTTTATATTCATTATTAAATGCAATAATGTGTTCCGTGTAATAGTAATAAATTATATATTGGAAGCGATAATTTATTTTTCTATATAGATAATTTATGCATGATGGTTGATAAGTATACCTTCAAAGCTTCTTGTGTAAAATTAATATAGATTTTCAATTTGAAGTAAATATATCGTATGTCGCTTAACTTAAGCAAGAAAGAATGAAATTAAGTTAATAACTATTTTTGCGATGATTGCGACATTGGTGGTAACTGTAGAAAATGCAAGTTTAAGAATACGTAATTGATCCATTTTATTCATTTTTATGTTTAATTTTAGTATATTATATTATTATAATATATAAATGTATTAATATTTTTACATTAGAGGAGAATTTATAATTTCAAATATTTATGAATATATTTATAACTTGTAATGTATTGGAATGTATTCTTATTTCCATTTGTACACTTTCTATTTCTCCTTTTTGAAATTTATTCCGTAAACATTATAAAACTTATAATATTAGAATTTTCCATTATGCAATTATAAAGCTATTCAAATATTAAATTTCAAATACATTAACAAATCTTGTATAAATAAAAAAACAAGATAGAGCAAAAAAATAGAAAGAGAAGGAGAAAAATGGTACAATGGTTGATGACAATTATATTAAAATTAGTATAATGACTTTTTATTTTAATATATCATCTTTTCATTACTTTAATATTATTTAAAAATATATATACTTTTCAGAATTTATTGGAATCGCAATATTTGCTGAAATAAAATTGTACAACGTAACGTAAATAATTATAAAGTTAATTATAATCTTAAATTGTGATTTTAAAATGAATGTATATCAATAAAATATTAGTTACAAATATTATATTATAATTGTCGTTTATATAAAATATCACTTCTAATTTCCTATCTTTCACATTTCATCGAAGAAAAACTTATATCTATATATTATAACCTATGTAATATATATAATCTATATCATTTTAAAGAGTGTTTATATATTTGGATGAATTCGCGTGTGTATATTTGTATAAGAAATTTAATATAACATTTAATATAACTATCAAAATTTTACTAATATGCATTTTGTAAAATTATATTTTTTAGATAAATTACATTTATAAGTATTTATATGTAACTTATCTACATGTATTATTGAATACAATAATATATTTGATGCAATAATGATAAAATAGCAGATTACCGCAAACGATAATTTTGCCACATAAATAATATATAATAATTGATAAGTACAAATTTTATAAAAGCATCTCCTAGAAAAATTACTTAATATAGAATATTTCATTTTGAAGTAAATATATCACATCTCGTTTAATTTAAGCAAGAAAGAATAAAAATGATTACATTGTTTACTATCATGCGATGATTGCGATAATTATGACACTATTGGTAATTGTAAATTATTTTTTTTATTCTTTTTATTTATTTTTTGATTTTCCTATTCTTTCCTATTATTTTTCTAATTTCTAAGTTATCATTTATAATTCATAATTCTAAAATT